GTTAGGCTGATGGTCCTTCTTGAGCATGTGATCAGCTGGTTTTGGTTGTAAGCAGCAAAACTGGTTGATCCACTCTGAGAAGGTGCTATTTAAGAGACTGAGCTGAATACAGCACCTCAGACTGAGGAAGTCTCTCAGATGAGAGACGAAACGTTTCTACATTTTTTTGTTGTTTTGCTTTGTTTTGTTTTTTTGAATGTCCAGATGACCAGATTTAACTTTTTTAGATTTTTCTACCTGGATTATTGAGCATGCATCAGGAAACATAGGGTTTTACTCACATTACTTCCTGGTTCCTAAACGGACCGGAGGGATGAGACCCATCTTGGATTTATCCGTTTTCAACATTCCAATCATTCCAAAACGCAGAAAGTTCCTGCGCTTCTCTTTTCAGGGGACCCAGTATCAGCACAACAGGCTGTCGTTCAGTTATTCTCTCGCACCACGTATGTTCTTAAAATGTGTGGAGACGGCACTGCAGCCGCTAAACAGAGCAGGGATGAGTATCATGTTTTTCCTGGATGATCTGCTGCTGCTGACTCGATCCAGACAGGAAGCAGTGGCACAAACCAAAGCGCTGAAGTCACACCTGTTAAACCTGGGCTTCACCATAAACTGGGAGAAGGGCTCGGTTCTTCCGGCCCAGATGATCGTTTATCTGGGAGTAGAGCTAAACTCAGTCACTATGAGGGCTCGTTTATCACAGAAAAAAACCAAAGCTCCAAAAGACCAGCTCCGCCACGTAAAATCAGGCAGAGTAGTGACAGCTGTTTCCATCATGAAACTGTTAGGAACAATGTCGTCAGCTCACACGGTGGCCCCGCTGGGCTTACTCCACATAAGACACTGCCAGAGATGGTTCGCTCGTCTGCGCATAGATCCGGTAAGGCAAGCGAGGTGGATGATCACTGTGCCCCCCTCCGTGGGAACCGACCTGAGACAATGGGGAAATCCCCTCACTCTGTCGGAAGGAATCCCTGTCAGCAGACCTACGTCACACGTCTCAGTTTTTACAGACGCGTCCCTGTCAGGTTGGGGAGGAACGTGCCCGTCTCGGGCTGTGGGGGCGCTGTGGCCACATCACACAGCTGCTCATATAAACGTTTTGGAATGCCACACGGTTTTGAATGTGATTCAACTTTTTGTTCCGGTGTTGCGGAATCAACACGTTCTGATTCACACAGTCAACAAAGTGTGTGCAGCATACATAAACTGGCAGGGGGCGTGCGCTCAGCCCAAATGTTACACATTGCAAGGCAGCTGCTGTGTTGGGCACACAAAAACTTGCTCTCCATCAGAACAGTGTACACCCCCGGCGTCCTGAACAGAGCGGACATAATGTCCAGGGGCGGTCCACGCCACGGGGACTGGAGCCTCCATCCCGAGCTGATGTCTCGGATGTGGGAGAAATTTGGCAGAGCGGCAGGGGACCTGTTTGCCTCACGGGAGAACGCCCAGTGCCAACTATGGTTCTCACTGAGCCCATGGGACGAACCACATTTAGGAGTGGACGCGTTTGCCCACAGGCCGTGGCCCAAAATGCTTTTTTACGCTTTTCCCCCAGTCCCTCTAATATCACGGTTTCTAAACCAAGCTCGGGAGGAAGAACTGTCAGCCATTCTGATAGCCCCCGAGAGTGTGAACGCCCTGTGGGTTCCAATCCTGCGACATCTGTTATCGGGTCGCCCGTGAAAACTGCCGTGGAGGGAGGACGCTCTCCTCGAGGTGGGAGGAGCGATCAGGAGTTACCCAGAAATAGGCCAGCACCTTTGGGTCTGGCCGCTGAGCGGATCCGCTTAGAGAGGATTGGTCTCTCTCAGGATGTAGTGTGCACGATCCAGGATTCACGTGCTGCCTCCACCACAGCGCTGTACACATCAAAGTGGACAGCCTTTCAGTGCTGGTGTACGGAGAAAGGTGTCCACTAGGTGGCGTGCTGTCCTTTCTGCAGCAGCTGATGGACAGAAATATGGTGTTCAGCACAATTAAAACGTATGCTACAGCCATTTCTTCCTGTCACGAAGGCTTCAATGACAGAACAGCTTTTAATCACCCGCTGATGAAGTGTTTTCTAAAAGGTGTACAAAGGCACAGACCTGTGTCATGCCCATTAGCTCCTCAGTGGGACTTAACGATAGTTCTGCAGGCCCTGATCAAAGCTCCTTTTGAGCCATTAGGTCAGGTTTCGATTAAATTCTTGTCACTTAAAACACCCCTGCTGTTGGCTTTGACATCTGCAAAGAGAGTGAGTGATTTATCTGCCCTCTCTGTTGCTCCGTCATGCCTCAGGATTCAGGCTGATGGCAGTTCAGCTTATCTGAGACCTAACCCAGTGTTTATGCCTAAAACATCACAAGCTCATTTAAATCGAGAATGATAACGTTGGAGGGTTTTTTCCCTCCTCCCCACAAATCAGAAGAAGAAGCATCTTTTCATCTCCTCTGCCCTGTGCATGCGTTGGCATGTTACGTAGCACGCACGGCCACAATGCGTCAGACTCAACATTTGTTTGTGCACTATAGAGACGCATCTACAGGTTGCCCGTTATCCATCCAGCGCCTGTCACACTGGCTGTGTGAGGCCATTTCTGAAGCAAACAGAACATCAGGTTTAGAGCCCCCTGACAACCTCAGGGCGCACTCGACCAGAGGAATCGCATCCTCGACAGCCTTGCATAATGGTATGACAATGCAGGATATTTGCACTGCGGCCGACCGGTCATCGCTCTGCTCATTTATTCGCTTCTATCTGCGTGATGTGTCGGCTCGCTCCATGACGCATTCTGTCCTCGGTGTCTTAACACTAGAAGTCCCAGAGAAGGGTCATTTAACATTTCTACCTTT